TTATATATTGATTTATGTACTGATTGTTTTGTCTCATTTACAGGACTAACATGTGTAGCAAGCACATGTCTGTAATCACTTTTATGAGTTGTTATGTTGGTCTTTGCTATGCCTACAAGTACTTCATGCAGAATGGTAATTTACTGACCATAGCTCCAGCACACCCAAGGAAGCTACAGCTAATTAAAGCCAAGATGAACATGCGAAGTGTTAAGGAAGCATGTACCATGTATGGTGCCAGCAAGTTCTCATTTTTGCTTGCAATTTGCTTTTACATGGCCGCTGGTGAGTGAGTTAGAACACGAGATTTTTGTTTCGATCTATATCATATATAATAATCAGTATAGTTTAGAAAATAGCATGGATTCAGTTATTACTATGGGTTTGATTTTGATAGGCTCAAGTTATACCATTTATCATAGTCCACCAGTTTTTATTTTGATTTTTCTATCATGGTGTGACTGTAAATGATAGGTTAAGAGAGACTGATTGTACACCAGGATCAAAAATGCTAATTGCACACTGTGATACCCTCATAATTTTCCTGTTTGGAGCACTCTTCCGTAAATGTTTTGCCAGAAGTTTCTAAGCAACAGGGAATATAGAACGTAATGTGATTTAAAAGAATTATGTACCTTTCTCCCTCCTTTTAGGCATTGTAACCAGTTTCTTCAGTGAGGGCAGTGACTGGAAGGAATGGCTGGTGATTGTTGACCTGCCACTGATGATATTGACAGCAACAGTGACAGGATTGGTTGCAGTGACTCTTGCTCTGTTTTCACAAATTTTTCGGATTTTTGTCACGGAGGTATGAGAGGGAGCATTTTTGCTGAGACTGCTTCTTTTCTTAGATTTTACTATTTAATATTTATATTTCATGGGGATAAGTGTAAGAGCATGATATTTTTATGCAATATCATTACAATAAGGTTATAGCCAAGAAATTCTCAGGATTGGTTTAAAACTGCAGCATATATGTTAGAATTCAGCTTCAGAATATTCAGAATCAGTCTCTTAAATTACCTCACCATATGTGTGATGTTTAAATGTATTATTTCATATTATCCCTCCACCTTCATAGTTTTTCACCAAGCCTCTGCATACTTGCAGCCAATCCAGATTCCATTGGCTACAGGAGAAGATATCAACTCCACAGAATCGGATGGAGATTCCTGGAGGTTATGTCATGCGCTAAGCTCCTCAGGACTCCTCCAGCTCTTAGCCTTCTGGGACCTGAAGTTGTTGGCATCCTCGGATCCTAGGGTTTTCGCAAGGCGGTCACAAGTCTTTGCTATTAGTCAGCCGGGTAAAGTTCTTTTATGTTTCCTTATTTAGGTGTTGATGATTATGGTTAGTGATTGTATAAGTTAGTGAATGTCTATTAGGAAAGAGTTATTAAAACATCAAGAAATGGAGAATCATAGAAAAGAGAATTTTGAGTTATTTTATTATTAGGTCAGTAGGCTAATTTTTTTTCTTATTTTTTCTTTTATTCATTTTATCTCTTCTCCTAAGTTGCTGAGATATAGTTTCCATATTGAAATTGGCTTGCTTTTTTCTTGATATTCACCATACAAGAAAAGCTATATTGATTGAATTTTTGAGTTCCATGATAATCACTTACTTGTAACTTGAATTTTGGAATGCTTGCCTGGTTTCTTCTGATATAATTTAGTATCCTAAAACAATGGTATTTTCAATTTCTTTTATTAATTCATCCTGTTCTGCAGGTGGACATCCACGTAACTGGCTGGGCATCATGAACCCATCCCTGAACCTCATCCGCAAGTTTACTGAGCGTTTACGAAGACAGAACTGCCCTGAGGATATGCCCCCACCCCCTAAGCCAGTGGATCCCACTTCTGCCCCAACAGATGTCAATAAAAATGAGGTCACCAAACCTGCTTCTCCACCTCTGAAGGAGAGGATTGTAGAGGTATGGCTTTGTCAGCATTTGATTTTATTACTGGTATTAGTAGTAATATGTATGTATTATTGTTATTATTATTATCATCATTTTTTATATCTCTTTTTTATTATATCTTAGGCTTCCTCCAAATATCAGATGAAATGGACTTTGCTTTCTCTCTTTTTCTTTATCCCACCATGAGTGATAAGTAAGAGGTAATAAAATAATTTTCTTTGCAGATGCTAAAGGGCCTGAAGAAATATCCATTCTTTGGGTACTTTTTAAGTGAGCTACCAGATGCTGCCTATCGCAGCATTTTTGCAGAGGCTTTACCAGTTATTTGGGCTGTACAGGGTGAGATGTAATTTCAGAATTATGTATACAAATATAATTTAAATGTTTTTTTTTTAATATATATACTTAAGTCATAAGATTGCTTCCATATGCAGCAACAAGGTGTAGCAATCAGCTGCAATTTTTAACAAGGCAATGTTTTGAATAAGGGCTTTTATTGGTAGCAACTATATCCAGTGGTTGCTGGCACAGAGAACATTTGCTGCTATTTGGGGCTTTATTTTGAAAGCAATTTGTCACTTGGTGCCACAAGATACTTCTGCTGTCCATCAGTGCTCATTGTCATTCAAGGCTTAGATGCCATTTTCTGTGCACTTTCTTGTCACCTTTCAAGGACTTGCCAGATTCTTGGGTGACAAGAGTTGTTAATTTATAACTAAATAGGAAATTGCCCATATAGGCAATTGACTACTTTATGTTCAATTTTTCAAGATTTGACCTGAGTTTTATTCCCACACAGCATTTGGAGACTTAATTGCAGCATCATTCAAGGAGGACAAGTACGGAGTGGTGCAGCGCAACATTCCGGACATTTTGATGGCTTTCATTCATTTACAAAAGGTATGAAACTTACAATGACTAAAACAACCAGAAAACTCTGAAAATGAAGACAAAGTTTCATCATTCTGCAATTCTTTTCTCCAGTAAAGCTTACTTACATAAACAGGTGGTAGATAGCCCAAGTAGAGGAACCATGGGACGAAGAGCAGGTGCTGGGGAGACTTTGCCAGTTGAATTGCAGCTGAGAAAGGCTCTGAGGTCCTCCTTGAGGTCAGCCTTGTACACAGTGACGACCACTTTTGGATCTACAGTACTGGAAGTTCTCTTTCAACTGAAATATTTTGATTTCTTTAATGTCCTGTTACAATATGCAGTATCTTCAGAAATGAAATGTATTTCATTTATGTTCACTGTAAAGCACATAAGGAAAGTGACAAGGTTAATGCTATGCAATTACATTTTTCCTGAATCTTTTAACCAAGCCACAATCAAGATAAAGTAATCCCTAAAGATTTTTTGATCAGTATATCAGGTGGTTAGGACATGAATAGAGTTTCAGTACTTTTTTTCCCCAAGAGAATGGATTTCAAAAGTCATAGACAAATATTTATATTTTTATTGATTCTTTTCAGGGAGTTACAAGTATCTGCTGAGTGCCAGAGTAAGTTACAGTCTTACTTGGACTTTAAAGAAGGATGAACTATGAATTGATCTCATCTTGGATAACTGTCATAGAAACCCACACCAAAGGATGTAGAAGTGCAGAGGCAGGAGTCTACTTGACAATAAAACTGTGAAAGGGGTGAAAATTGTATAACTTACTTTCTGAACTGAATCCTTTGTTCCTAAATATAAAGCATTATATGAACCCGCATATGACTTAGCTTAATATGCTTGTTGGGTTGTGTATTGTTTTGTAATGCATAAATGTAATCATATGTGATTTAGTATTGTTTACTGCTGTAATTGGAAGGTTTACAACAGATTGTTTACTGCTTAAGGATTACTTTTTATGTTTGATACTAATGTATTTATTTATAAGTAATTGTGATACATTTTTTTTTCTTACTAGACATAGATTTTTATAAGTTTGTAAAGGAATGGACTTGTATTGCTGAACTTTGATCTGAAAAGGTTGAATCTGCAAAGAATTAATATAATGTGCCATGTGTATTGAGTTGGTTTTCCAGAGCTTAAAGAGAGGATTATCTAAATTTCCCTAATTTTTCAGAAGACTTTAAAAAGAGAAATGCATTAGTTTATATTGAGATATTAGAAACCAGTGAACTTAGGTTTTAGACTTTCATAATAATATTTTTGTCCATGGCATAAAGAACAAAGGAAGATGAAATTCAGGTATTTCTGAATATTCTTTCGCTGTACATGTATCTTCTTTGTACATAATGATGGCTTAAGTTTGTATTTTTTCCACTTGAAAAATAAAATAATCTTTGTAGTTATAATTTTGTTTTACCTCTGAATATCTTTTTGCTAGACGATATACATATTGTACTCAGTATGATCCTCTGCACTCAATTCTATCTTTAGCAATTTATATGGTCAGTGTTATCACAAGGAAAAACTAATGATACCTGTCTTGTTAATATCTGTGGAATTACCAATCATTTCAAGTCATGTGACTATTATTTAGTTTGCTAAAATGTAATGATAGACATGTAATTTTTTTTTCTTCTTTTTGACTACCCCCCCCCATTTCAAGAGGAGTGGGAAAATAGGATGACCAGACTAAGTGGAGAAGTAACTGGGACAAGGGAACTGACTTAGAAGGGAAATACGATGGGTGTAATGACTTAAAAGATAAATCAGGATGGATGAGGTCGATGAAGGAATAAATTGGGTGAGTGAACTAGTTGAGGGGGATACAGAGGATATAGGAACGGGTGAAGTGGTTGAGGAGATAAACTGGAACTGGTGAACTATTTGAATGTTAAATCTGACTGAAGGATGCTGTAACTTACAGCAGGTGACTTGGGTGAAAGGTTAAATTAGGAGGGTGAACTGAAGGAGTAGGTTACACACAAGGCTTGGGAGCCAATGTTATAGATTAATACCTTTTTTATTCCATTTTTTTTCTGTAGATGTAAGTGAAGTCAGGAATTTTAAAATTATAATATTTAGTTTGAAAATAATAACTGGGTATCCAATTTATCAACAGTTTGGTAATAAAAAGTAAAAATATCATAAAATATTTATTCAAATTAGAATAATACATCTATACAAACAAGAAATATAACTAGTGGCAGAGCATAATAGATAAAATTCTATACTAACATTTCCACTTTGTTATTTTGACTTTATGAATACATCCACCAACCATCTAAAAAGACAGACAGAAATATGTAAATCCTTTTTAAAAAATCACAATCTAAACAATGAAATCAGATGAAAATTTTCCTTAATCATCAATTTTGATTTTTTTCTGCTAGCAATTTTGAGGTTGGCAAAAAAATTGGAAAAGTCTGAGCTTCCCAAACAGTGGAGAGTAAAACAATCCCCAATAGAAAAAAAAAAAAACAAAGGTAGAAACATGGCTTTATATAACACGATGAAAGTCAACAAAGGATGAGCACGAAACGACAATGAAAAAGGGAAGAAATGATAGGTAACAATATCAACTAAAAAATACAGACTTTGATTACATTTTGCTTCTGATCGCATTCGCATACAGTATTTTTCTTCGCTGAAATGACGATAAACTGAGGAACAAACACAGGAGTCAAACACAGAGAAAATGATAGCCACAGGACAGCACATAAAAAGGAAATCTCATGTGCGGAAAGGCCTGTATTCACAGTTTTGTACTTAAACAAAGATTTCCCACATTTAGAAGCTTCTAGAACGGAGACCGAGCAAGCATCCTGTGTGAACCAACAGTTTATCATATATATATAATACTCTGACATTCACTGGCATAAAAATACTACATAGTACACTACATATATCAATCTATGACAAAAAACATCTTTATACATTAATATATGTACAAGTTACACATGCTGTCTCTCATCACAGTGTGTTCGACGGGAAATAATCAGCTACAGACTATTCGTTTTACCCGGAAATAAGAAGATACATGGCAAGCTTCTTCTGGCGTCTACATCGTTTCTCGTATTTTTCTTCTTAACCCATATTTCTAGAACAAAATCTCCAGAATATACTTAATGTGGAATAGTTCACCATATCCTTAAGACTGTCCCCCAGACTTAGTAATTTCCATGGTATGAAAATAAACGGATTTGTTGCACAGCAAAGTCTCTCTGAGTATTGTGGATAATGACAATGCGTCATCGTAAGCATGTAGACCAGGTTAAAGAGCAATTATCTGAAGAGTCCATTAAATACGATTAACCTTTACCGGAAGTGCCCGCATATAGGAGTTTCCTTTTCAGGCCGTAACACCGTGTCAATAACATGGATGACTCCGTTTGTGGCGATGATGTCATGCTTTATCACATTGGCTGTTCCTCCAACACCAGCAAGACGACCTGTAGGGAACAGAAATTATTAAACTATAAATATAACTTCATTCGAATAATTAAACAATAAATATAACTTCATTCGAATAATTAAACAATAAATATAACTTCATTCAAATAATCAAACAACAAATATAACTTCATTCAGGTACTCTGAACCTTTGGCTATTAATTCGTACCAACATATATTACTTTATCCTTAATGTGATTTAAACTTTCGTCTGATATTAGACATCGATTTCTTTGATATTCGAATACATTTTTGAGATATTTTAACATACGCGTGTAACCGTCAGAAGTGACTCTCATTTGCAACTCTTGTTCCTCAGCAAGAGTCGGTAGCCACGTCCCATCTCTCAGTCCCTCGCTGAAGTACGCTCCAGGGACGATATGGTACATCAGAACATCTGTAAAGTGAGGAGGGATAATGTAGCTGTAAACTTCAGCAGCCAGTGAATTAGTCGCATGCTTGTGATATGAAGTAAGATGAAATTAAATCTTATTCTTTTGATTTTCGTAATCGGCTATGAGCATTTTCGGCGTTTTATAGCGAATTCAAGGTTATTTTCAGAAGAAAGCATAATATAAAGCTCTCCTTTACAGAGCGTCTTTAGAATGAATTCAGAACACCCAGCATATGCTACATTTCTCAGCAAGAAAAAGTGAAATATAGAGCAGATAGGTATAATCTAATTAATCTAATCTAATTTCTAGGTCTAATAAATCGAAATGCAACAGCTCGACTTACTTTGCAGGAGAGTTATGTTTTCAATGAAACTCGACACCGTGGCATTGTCTATAGCAGCGAAGGCCTCAGTCGTGGGCAAGAACACAGTGTAGGGACCGTCTTGCTCAAGGACTGGCGTCAGACCAGCACCTGTCACAGCCACGTTTGCTCCTGGAGGAAAGACGAGGTCGGTGAGCTTTCTGTGGACACACACACACACACACACACACACACACACACACACACACACACACACACACACACACACACACACACACACACACACACACACACACACACACACACACACACACACACACACACACACACACACACACACACACACACACACACACACACACACACACACACACACACACACATGCAAACATGCAAATGTGTGTGCGTGGCTTTGATATTCTGCGTGCAGTTTTCCGCTCGATGAATCAAACCAATGCTGCATTTTACTTTCTGCTTGATCTCTCTTCTTACTCCCAAAGTGAAAACGTTTGCTTGCTGGCTGTCTCTATGTACAGGCTCCGGGAACTACGTCATGCTGTGGGTTGCCATTGGGAGCTTCACCGTGAATGACGAATTGCGTGTAAAATGGGTCTTCTCGTCGTCGAATGTCCAGTTACTCTCTGTGCTTTTATAGACGTCTCTGTGTAGTTTTCTTGAAACGATTTATTGGAAAGGAGGCATAGTAAAACCTCTTGGTTGTGCGTCTTTTGATGAAGGAGAATGATGAGTTCCAGTCTTGTGAATATTTGCAAATAATTGGGATTAAAGGAATCCGAACAAAAAGGTCTTTGAAAACTCGAAAGGGTCCTAATTACTATTTTATATTCCGTATAAAGTTACGCTAAAGTGCAACTGGAAAATCTTGCTATATGCTGGTCTTAAACGTCTATCATGCCCAAATTGAAATTCAAAGATACGTTATTGCATCGAAGTTCCTGATGACCGTTTTTCCCCTGAACCTGTAGGTGATCTATTTAAGTCTAAAGTCATTCCGAAACAGTAAACACTTACCTCATGAGCCAGATTCATTTCGCTGACTTGTCAAGTCCTTGTGGTGATATCTGTCTGTCTGTCTGTCTGTTATTTGCTGTCAATAGTCTTGGGTGATTTACAATGTAGGTCATGTCGTTTAATGGTTTAGGATAAATTTACTCTCGTGATTATTTTCGCTATTGGAACCTAGTTATATAGTCTTTATACCATTGATTTAAAAAT